TTTGTATTTAGTTGCTTGAAGTACTGTAGATGTCATGCATCACTATATGATTTTGAATCGTGCTTTTATCTGAAAATTGTTTAAAAAGAACAAAATATGGGACGGGACAATAAGCGGGATCCCGGCTTGCATGAATTTCTATTATATTTATCACCAGATGTTTATATGGAAGCGGGACGTTTTTCGTCCCGTCCCGGGGAAGCGGGATCCCGGTTTGTGCAGCGGGGATCCCGCTTAAACTGGGACGTTTTCTTCCATGTAAACACTTGTTGCCGGGACGGGATGGAAGGCGGGATGATTTTGGTGTATTGAAAGAAATGACTAGGCTTAAACGAACTTTTAAACAACGGTTAAATAAACTCAAATGTTGTTAGAGAAGATCTCGTAGTTCAAGACGATTATTATTGTTGCTTCAACAACCTTTCGTTTACAATTATACTGTAATCTATAACTAGAAAAATGTGATTTTGCTAAATCGTGCACCGTGACTTATTTCAGTACGTCAAAATCATCCCGCCTCACATCTCGTCCCGGCAAAGCGGGATTATATAAACAGCTTCCAACCCGGTATGTATAAATCGTCCCGTCCCGGCAAACTTCCCATCTCGCCTCTCATATAAACAGCTCCTAATTTTAGAAGAAAAGGGCTGTGTGGAGTTCCTCCCCCAGAACTTTTTGTACATTTTTGAAGCTCCATGAGTTGCATTTCGGGCATTTTGTAAAGCAAATTCACGAGCAAATTGGATCTAAATTGACTGTATCGTACAAAAATGGTTATCATTTCTGGCACAAGAATAACAATTTTATTGCGCAAATTTTACCTGAACATATAAAACCCCGCATTGCTACTGCTGATCTTAGATCAGGTATTATTTACATCTGGAGCAGATATCCAAAAATAAACTGCACTAGAATCGCTGGGCCGCTGCTTCGATACCTGGCAGGGACCTACATTTGCATTTTTTGCAGGTGTTCCTGGTGTGTCTAACATATGTAAATACATTCCACATTTTCACTCGATCATTTCCATCTACACGATCCTTCAAGTATACGTAAGCAGTCTAAGCTTCCATTGCACTGTGTGCGAAATTGTGGAGGGAAACAGTCTTTGAACAATATCTCAATAATAACACCCATATTTGAAGTCAGAGCGATCTCAGTGCCTACTATGGTAATATAAAATGATAGTCCAGTCTGTTTTTGGTGTTAATTGTAGTTTTATACCTGCAAGTTGACAGGCCAATATTTGTAGTATAATGCCAGAATTGGGCTTGCTTATTAATTTACCCGCACAATGGTTTATTAAAATTCAAGATCTGTGCAAGCACGTTTGATTATGAACAGGGTTATAAAGCTTTCTATGGAGCGTGATGAAAATCTCTTTGACTAGAGGCAGACATGAATAGTTATGTTTAGCATGACTGCATGGGTCCCAAGCGGACATGAATATCAATGTTTTTATAAATTGTAAATGACAGATTAACAAATTATAAACATGAATATCCATTGAAATAACAAAAATTAACTTACCGTTTGCTTTAAATAAAAAAATCCTTCATGCATTTCTGGAAACGTTGCCAACTGTATAAATTTTGTAAGAATCGCGGACATCAATTTTGTATTTATTATTATTATTATTAAAAAAAATATATTTACACAGGATAAAAAATGCTTCAGTGACTATTCACTGCTATCAACGCATGTCCTGTTTACCTAAAACTACTAATATTATGAGTATAAAAAGTCAATATATTAAAAATATTAAAAATCTAACTGCAGTCAATTCTGCAAAGGATTATAATGAACTAAGGTTCTCTTTCAGTTTTTGTTTAAAAAGCATAAAACTGTCAATTTCTCTAATATCTTTGGGCAATTTGTTGAATTCAATTGCTCCATTATAATAAAAGGCATGCTTTGTGGATTCCAAGCGTATTTTGGGAATCCTGACACTTATTCCGTTGTTCCTTGTGTTCTTTACATGTTGTAACCGTTCAAAATAATTGTGAAAGTTACTACACACATACCTGTCCATGCATTGTTTCACCAGGAAAGTCGTTTGCAGCTTTGCAAAGCTCTTCAGGTCAGGTAGTCTTAGATCTGCCGATTCACTTGATTTTGTTACTCTAGAAGCTCGATCCTGGAGATTTTCAATTCGTGAAGTTTGGGTGGCATTCAAGTTTAAAGTAACAACGCTGGAACATGTTAGTAGTGGCATTATCATGAATTTGTATATAGATTCAACAGCATCCATAGTTAGAGAAGATCGTATTTTCTTAAGCAACCTTAACCTGCCAGATGCTTTCCTAAAAGCCTGACCAAAATGTTCTTTCAGGTTTACATTCTGGTCCACCAATACTCCAAGATATCTATATTTGGTTGTGAAGTTGATCAGTTTATCGTTTAGATATACTCTTATGGGGTTATTTTGTATTCTTCGACTAGTTCCCAGTAACATAGACTCAGTTTTTCCTTTGTTGAGATTTATGATTAGATTGTTCTCATCTAACCATTTAGCAACAACTTGCATTTCACTTGTAAGTTGATTTACAATTTCAGAAATATCTTGCCCAGCCAGGAACAGAACTGTGTCATCAGCATACTTTATGATTTGTGCACTAATGAGATGGTCGTCGATATCATTAATGTACAATATGAATAAAAGACGCCCCAAGATAGACCCTTGGGGTGCTCCTGATGTAACTTTGAATTTCTCTGATAATGAACCGTCGAAGCTAACACATTGAGATCGATAATACCTTATTGAATTCTGATCGTTTAATTGGTTGTTTATGGTCACGTGATATTGAATAAAAAATTCCATTTCCCCAAGAGTGCAACGGAATACGTTTCATTGCATTCTTTGCGAGTGCTATTGTACTATACGTTTTATTCCTGCATTTCACTCTTAATGTTTTCGATAAATCACATCCCGGTCAAAATGTGTGTTTATGTTAATATTAAATGGTGTTTTAATAAACTATTCCTGAAAAAGAAATATTAGTCTATTTTGGTATTATTTAAAACACATAGCAATGGTAAGAATATTTTCATTCGGTGAAAGATGGAATGTTCCATGCATTAAAACTCGGCTGTCGCCTCGGTGAATGGAACATTCTATCTTTCACCTCAAGAAAATATACATTCATTATTTGTATATTACATAATACGTTATTGAATTCTGATCGTCTAATTGGCTGTTTATGGTCACGTGATATTGAATAAAAAATTCCATTTCCCAAGAGTGCAATAGAACACGTTCCATTGCACTCTTTTCGAGTGCTATTGTACTATACGTTTTATTCCATTGCACTCTTTGTTTTTTATAATCTTCTTTTCAATGTTAAACTCATTTCCTCAATACAGCTGTCATAGAACCCTGGCTTTGGGGAAATAGGCCATTTTTTTTCCTCAGTGGTGGGGCAGAGGAAGGGGCTCAGCGGGACAAATACCACACGTCCATGGTATTAAAAAATAAACCAGATATACGTAATAAACTATGGAAATTACGATTATAGGAACTAAAAAAGGTGAAAATTAGACTGAAAACGTAAAAAATGCAGTTTACGAATCGATGGAAAAATACAAAATTAATAATGCTAAATAATAAACCCTCTATCGACGACGGTATTCCATCTCAAATAGAACAAAAGTTATTCTTAAAAGTTAATTGTTACATGTGTTGGAGATTGTTATTATCATTGTTATAGACATGGAATTTTCCATTCTACTGATAAATATTCAATATAAATATAAGACCTCAGTCAAACAATAACAGGCGCTGTTCAGATAATCCAGGCTAACCTGCCTTGCCAAAATAGAAATTGTTGTCACATGAGTCTGGATCTTGGCTAACCAAGACACTGAAAATAAGCCTGGCTAACTAGGCCAGCTCGAGTCATCTAATGTCCATTTCATGTACAATATATGCATAATCACTGCACATGCAGTCTGCTATAGCACAACATATTTCAACTTTTCATATTTCCATACACTTAATAATATTAACAACATGTTAAAAACAGTTGACTAGGATGTCAAAGGTTAGGTGGTTGCATTCCTTGGAGGCAGCAAACCCAATAATTATTAACCAACAATTTGTAACAATTATTTTATTAATAACAATTATTTTATTAAAATATTGATTCCCCTCATTGCTGAAATCTAATATTGATCATGTGGCAGTCCCACTTTATGCTTTGTTGCAGGCAAAGAAGCATCCACATGGCCTTTGACACACTAGTCTGTTTTTAATGTTGTTAATATTAACTCATTAACTGACAATGTGAATGTGCCCAAATGTGCCCTACTTAGTATTTACTCTGTCTAATGCCAGACGATTAATAACTTGTCAGTGGTAAAGAACTGCCAGAAGACCGGTTATAAAAGTGAATGTTAAATATGAATTAAGTTGAAATCTGTTGTAATAACCAACTGATTCATTAACCTATTAAGTTGCAAGACTCCTATTGATGAGTAAAATCATCAATCAATCAATCAATCAATATATATTTATTTCCCATGTGTATGTACAATAATAAATAACAAAAAGTATGTGTAGTTTGAAGTTGTTGAGCTAGAGACCTACTGGAAACCTTTTCAGGCTTTTTAATGTAGGCCACTAGTTAGGTTTGTAAAAAAAATGCATATATATTTACAGTGAAGAGTAATTACTGAAGTAAGACCTAAAAGTATATACTATTTACAAAAGAAGGATATTATATCGTAATATAAAATTACAAGATTACAAAATTTTCGCTATAGAATTAACGGTTGCTGTATATCGGTGGTCATTTCATGTAAGTTGAAGAAGATCTAGATTACTATAACATGTTGTTTGATTAATCTTTTGTAGACATTGTAAGAGTTTAATCTTTTGAATTTTGTATCTAATGTATTCCATAGACTAGAAAATACATGCATGCAGAAACCCTCGCCTTGCCACAGATGAAGTATATACCAGATGTGTAACTTAATAGGATTTCGTGTACATGTCCTTAAATTTCCCTAGATGTACACGTCATGCTCACGCCATGACACTTGCTAGGAAGATGGCATCCTGGAAAACATGAACTTTTGCATTTTATTGCGGCTTTTTTAGATCGAAATTTATGGATTAAACAATCAAGAGCATCATTTGTTGAATGTTTAAAGTTGTTGAAAGCAATTAAAGTTGTAGAAAAGGTGTTGAAAACATTTTTGAAGGCAATGACGTACTACCAAATGACGAATTATCACGCGAGCGACACTTGCTAGGAAGATGGCGACCGTGGGACAACTTTTTTACTGAAGTTACACATCTGTTCTTACTTAATCTATGACCTTGCTGACAAAACCATTGTATTTTCCGAACATGAAGTATCTAAGTTGTCATGGTAACACGATAATTTTTTAAGAATATTCTTACAAATGAAAAATCGCTTATAAATATCACTTTTAATCACAAAATTATTAATTTCCCAACATATGTATCTTAGGTATGTTATTATACGTAATATAAGCCTCGATTTAAGGTAAAATTCAACCACAAACGCTTCGCAAAGCGTTTTAAAATCATTAGTTCTTTAATATAAAACTAAACTGCCTTTTAAAATGGCTTTATCAATAAACTTTGAGTTTGCAATAAAATGATTTAAAATTCTCGCTTGCAAATAAGTTTGCTTTCTTATCTATTTAAAAATTTCAATATCATAAAAAAGGGAATCAATAATAAAGATACACTGAAATTATATGCTGTCTTGTTTAGTTGTTTCATATACGCAAAGGCCGTCGGGTTTTAAATCCATTATAAAATCAATATTTAAAACAAACTTACCTTCGTTAACGTTGGCTCCCTTCTTTTAGCCGATTCTTTCGCAGTTCCTTTCTCAGAGAGCTTTTGAAATTTACAAAATCTTGCAAAAATGCGAGCAAAAATGAAATATATTTGCAAGAAATTTATTAATCATCAAATCAACTCAAGAAATGTTTGCTATTTCGCTGTCGTCATGCAGTCGTTATAATGCAAACTTTAAATTGGACCAATCAGTGTCCGCTATTCGTGACAGTCCGCCATATTTTTGAGATCAGTGAGGATGACCACCACCCAACACCGTTGGTGACCCACGCCCGCGATATTTGATGAACTTTAGACTCCGCTAATGCTTTCGTTTCCCCGGGTGTAAATAGCCGGGGGGGGGGATTAGTACCCTCGCACGGCGCTTCGCGCCGTCGGCTCGGGGATTAACCCCTTTGTTAGAAAGAGTATGTATGACATAATTAGTTCTTTTACTAGAAAATACATGCATGCAGAAACCCTCGCCTTCCTGACAAAACCATTGTATTTTCCGAACGTGAAGTTCTAAAGTAGTTGTCATGGTAACACGATAATTCTTTAAGAATATTCTTACAAATGAAAAATCGCCTAAAAATATCACTTTTAATTACAAAATTATTAATTTCCCAACATATATAATTTATGTTAGGTATGTTATTATACGTAATATAAGCCTCAATATAACGTAAATTCAACCACAAACGCTTCACAAAACGTTTTAAAGTGCTGTTTAACTAAACTGCCTTTAATTAAATGGCTTTATCGATAAACTTTGAGTTGCAATAAAATGATTTCAAATTCTCGCTTGCAAATAACTTTGCTTTCTTTTTTATTTAATAATTCAATATAATAAAAAAGTGAATCAATATTAAAGATACACTGAGCGAAATTATATTCTGTCTTGTTTAGTTGTTTCGTATACGCAAAGCCAAGGCCGTCGCTCGGGCCGTCGGGTTTTAAAGCCATTATAAAATCAATATTTAAAACAAACTTACCTTCGTTAACGTCGGCTCCCTTCTTTTAGCCGATTCTTTCGAAGTTTCTTTCTGAGAGAGCTTTTGAAATTTACAAAATATTGCAAAAATGCGAGTAAAATGAAATATACTCGCAAGAAATTTATCAATCATGAATCATCAAATCTAGAAATGTTTGCTATTTCGCTGTCGTCATGCAGTCGTTATAATGCAAACTTTAAATTGGACCAATCAGTGTCCGCTATTCATGACATTCCGCCATATTTTTGAGGTCAGTGAGGATGACCACCCACCCAACACCGTTGGTGACCCACGCCCGCGATATTTGATGAACTTTAGACTCCGCTAATGCTTTCGTTTCCCCGGGTGTAAATAGCCGGGGGGAATTAGTACCCTCGCACGGCGCTTCGCGCCGTCGGCTCGGGGACAACACTTGTGTAGTTTTGTTGCATTTCTTGTATTGTAGTCATCATCTAGCATTAGAAAGGGTAAAGATTTATTGTTTTATCTGCCGCTGTTGGAAGATCCTTCTCCTTGAACATTTTACTAAAGATTTACTGTGTCATCTGCTGCTGTTGGAAGTTCCTTTTCCTTGAACATTTCACTAAAGGTTTGTTGTGTCACCTGCGCTGTTGGCAGATCCTTTTCCTTGATAATTTTACTAAAAATTTACTGTGGTATTGTATATAATTTCTAGGGAAGATATAAGAAAAATTCAAATGTTGTATTTCCAAAAATATGCACTCAGGCTTTAAAATTTTAAATTTGTGGACCCAGGGGGAGGAATAGCTTAACCAAGGCATAAGAAACCAAAACTTTATGAAAATATAAAACTGACAGTGGTCAAAGTCCAAAACAAATGTAAGCGTAATATTAGACTTGAAAAAGCTTTAGAAATTCGATAAAAATTCGAAGACTCGAGCGACTTTAAAATTAAAGTTCTGCGCATAGAGAGCGTGCACGACCACAATTCTATGCGCTAAATAAAATTTAGTCGAAAAAAACCCTCTCTGCACATATTAGACTGCTGCTACGCTCGCTCGCTCCGATATTTCTTATTTATGTTGCTCTAATAGTCAATTAGCCAAGCCGGACTGCAAGATTCAAATGCTAATGAGTAATGGCCAATTACACCAGACAGATTAAAAGAGTGACTAGCAGACTAATAATGATGCGACCATAGTTAGGTTTCAATCTGAATCATGTGGCACTTTAGCACTTGGTGGTCAACTATCAAACTAGGAAACACAATTATTGGGTTGAGTTCATTATTCATTATATTAATTCACCTTGTATTCAATAGCAAATAAAGAACATTTAACAACATTTGGTCGCTTCCACAAGGCATATAAAGCGACAAACATGCAAAGTCGACCACCATGTGTTTTCCTATGAATATGTCACCAATATTATTAAATACTATGCCACATGTGGGCTATATTTTTACATGGAAAATAAAAACACGTTGGCTACGGTATATAATAATGTTTATGCATGAGTTAAAATGATTTTTAAATTAAGCCCATATAGGTAATAAAAGTAAATATATATTTCGCTTTGCACATACCTGCAAAGGTTCCAACCCTCCCGATTTGATCGGGAGGCTACCGATTTCTTGGCAAATCTCCCGATCTCTCGATTTATATTTAAACCGCCCGATTTTACGAATAAAAATATTACTTTTTCTAAAAGGATCCTTGTAAAAGCAGTTCGCGTACGGTAAAAACGGTTGTCGGATCGACAAAAAAGCGGTATTTCGCCAAGAGGGTTGTTTTGTACGACAAAGTTTCGTAATATTTCGCATAAAAGGCGGAAATTTACAGTTGTTGTATTCGCGAGTCTCGGAATCAAGAAATAGCGCTTCTGAAAGAAAGTTTAAATTTTCTAAATTTTCTACCCAGTCACACTAGAGATCAACATTTTCTTGCCTTTACCAGACCTCCCAATTTTTGGAAATGTGAAGTTGGAACGTCTGATTAATTTATGTATATAATAGTTTCTTATTTAATACAATCTTTAAATCTCCATTTGTATTTTGTTTTATTTGTAATGCATCATTTCTAATGATGTGTTTATTGCGTTTATATAAAGTTTACCGAACTTGAAATACCGCTGACTTTTATGTATTACAGCTTCAGATATGTACGTATCTTGTCTATGATCTAGTGCCGACCGATTTTGCTTTGAATATGAAATGGCAGATTTTAACACTTGCTTTTATCCATCGATAACCTTTGCCTACAGGAAAACAACCAGGCAACTTTTAACTACATGCATGTGTGATTTCATCAAGTTCTCTAAAATAATGGAGAAGAAAATGCGTTTAGAAAGAGGCTAGATGTGAACACGCTTCGCGAGAACGTCTTGCAAAAAACTATCCTTAGCAAACAAAAACAGGTGAATTTGCGTTTTAACTAACGATTGGAGGATTTTTTTGGAAAATTAAATATTACTGATAGGTGATTGTACTGGATTTCTAATTTATTTATATCCTATGAACAGATAAGTGCCATTTCCAGCTTTGTGAAATTGACAATTTGTGTCAAGTTTTCTTCGAATTCAGTCAGAGAACTCGCGTCTCTTTGAACACATTTCTAAGCCTAAATATAGTCGATGTGAATGAATTACCATGGTTATAGGAAGAACCTTTGATATTCAATATGTCCCCTTGATTTCTGTTCTGTATTCTAATATTTAAAACGTTTTTAATGTGCTTATAAACCCAAAATGGGTTTTTGGTGGTTCGATAGAGCGTAAAAAGTTAGTTCGTAAGTTCTAGATTAGTTTTTGCGTTAAACGTTTAGTTCGGAGATATAACGGCTCAAACATGCAAATTGTGCCATTTTTTTAAAAGAAATAGCGCCAACAAAATAACACACGGGGGACTGGATCCGCGGAACCCATCTGCTGCGCAATGTACATATTACGTCATATTACGTTATATCCTATGAGAAGAGCATCATGGGATCGGAGAACACTTATGCCTCGTGTGTGTGTCTCGTATTATGTTATGCAAAGAAAAAATAACACCTTTATAAAACTTATAATATATAATAAAATATACCGAAATAAACCAAATAAGTTCAAACCCATCTTCAACAACAACTAGGCCCTCGTCCTTGATGATCAATCTTCTGGTGAAAATGTATCGCTATCAGTTTCGAAACTTGAGCTCTCTTTGGTAAGACTACCGGATGCTTGATATTAGCGTCCATACTAGATTTTCGAATTCTTTCTCCTACTCGTATAACTCCATGTTCGTCCATAAAGGGATCGAGTTTAGCAATTGGGCTAGTTCTAGCTACCGGATTTCGCCGTCGTTGAGTTTCCGGTACATTGACTTCGGCTTTTGACTTTAATAAGCTTATCTCCTGTTTGAATTCTTCTTTCTGCAGTGCCTTGATTATTTCCCGTTCAGCAGCATTCATTTCTTCCACAGTAACAGCTTGGTCAGGTTTCATAACATTTTCTGCTTTCTCGATGTTTTCGACATCCTTTTTATCCCATTTCTTACGTACCCTTTGACGTAACAATCTGCGATAACGAAGACAAATAGCGATGGCCTTTTTAGGTCGGTGCCGACTTGAAAAGTATTCTAGTCTCTCTACCACGTCCGCGAATTTTTTCACAGATGTTGCAAAGGTTGTGACTTTAATTTCTTTACATCGACATCATCTGGTACCAACTTTGCTTTATCATCCGGTTTGTTAATATGTTTCCAATCTTGGTGAGCTTCGCATAGAAATGACTCACCGTTTATCCACCTCGAATCGCTCACAATATCACAGGCTTTTAAGCCTCAGGATGCCTCATCAGCTGGATTTAAATTTGACTCAACGTAATTCCACTGATCCTTTGACAAATGATCTCTAATTTGTTGGACGCGATTAGCCACGAATACATGGAAGCGACGCGCATCATTGTTAATATATCCTAATACGACTTTGCTATCTGTTCAATATATCTCTTCGATTCTCTTATAATCGAGTTCTTCTTGAAGCATCGCGCTGTCTTTGACAGAGACAACCTCGGCTGTTAGCTCTAACCTTGGAAATGAAACTTGTTTCAGTGGCGCCACACGAGATTTGCCCACAACTAACGAACAGTGGATTCTATCGCTATCATCAACCAATCTTATATACGAACATTGACCGTACCCTTCACATCTTGCGTCCGAGAAATGATAAAGTTCAGTTTTCTCCAAAGCTCTCAGGCTTGTAACATCTTTCAACCTTTATGTTTCCCAACGAATGAATGTTTTTTCTCCATCTTTCCCACTCTATTCTAAGCTTTTCTGGCAGAGGGTCATCCCAATCAGCATTCTCTTTGCACAAGGCTTGTAGGATCTTTTTTCCAGTGAGTAGAACAGGGGCAACGAGTCCGAGGGGATCATAGATGGAACTTATAGTTGCCAAAACCCCGCGTCTTGTAAGTGGTCTGTCCTTTAAGGTTATGCGAAACCAAAAAGAATCACTTTCAACTCGATGCACCACTCCATTCCTAGCACTCGTTCGATCGGAAGTATATCGTGACTCAGTTCGAGTTCTTTGACTTCGGTAGCACGGTAGTCAACGGCGAACGGGAATGGACTCGGTCACTTCTCGCCTGTTTGCAGTAAACTTGTGTAAACAAAATCCGCCTTTTTGGCACATTTCGATGCTGCGTTTTATTAACTTAGGCGCATGCTCTACCTTCTCAACGGACTTTAACACATCATCAACATAAAAACTGTTTTCGACAAATGAGCTGGCATCTGTTCCAAACTCTTCTTCACCAGGTTTGGCCGTGGTTTTCAACGGTAGATTGGAACATCCGCGCGATGACGTTGCTCCAAATAGGTGGACTCGCATTCTGTAGTCTTCAGGCTCCTTCGATGTGTCTCCGTCCGGCCACCACAAGAATCTCAAGTAATCGCGATGCTCTTCATTCACACGTACCTGGCAGAACATGGATTCGATTTCACACGTAAACGCTACTCTCTCTTTCCGGAATCGACAAAGTACACCAGTGAGCGAGTTCGTTATGTCAGGTCCTTGTAAAAGATATTGATTTAATGATTGACCTTCATATTCGGCTGAGCAGTCAAATACGATCCTGATCTTATTGGGTTTGTGTGGATGGTACACTCCATGATGAGGTATATACCATGGTTTTCCATCAGTCTTTTGAGCTTTCTCAGCGTAGCCTTTCTTTATCATATCGTCCATAAATTGCATATAATCTCTTTTGTATTTGACGTCCTTGGCGAACTTTGCTTTAAGGCTATCTAACTTTGATTCCGCAATCTCTCTGTTGGACGGTAATTCAACGTTGTCGTTTCGAAACGGAAGTGGCAACTCATAATGTCCATCGTCAGTGACGTGAATCTCTCTTTTCGTTATATCTAGGAACTTTCGATTTTTTAACGACATTGGTTTCTCTCTCTTCTTTTCCGAAAAATCCTGTTCAAGCATCTTTAGCACTTCGTGAGGATTCAATACTTCCTTTACTTGGGTTTGGTCTACAAAGGTTGAACCAGTATTCTGGGTTGTGATATCTTTGGTTGTAACTCGATGACAATGCATTCTAGTTCCGTCTGACTGGCACATGGCCAGAAATGACGGACATTGTGCAAGCGTACCTTTCGGTCAGCGGCTTTTCCGTTTATCCACAAGAATTTCTAATTATCTTTTTACGACCTATCAAAGCATCCGGAATTTCAAATATTCGCGTGGGTGTTGTTTATAAAGCAAAGCATGAGGTATGCACTCAAGTTGTGGCCTTTAGTTTACCAGGCTCAGGGTGTAGCTAAGCAATCACTACGGGAACGAAACGAGAAGCTTTCGACGGGTATTTTGGTACCAAACATGTAGCAACGCAATCAATATTTCGACTTTGGCAAGCGAATGGATTATCACTTTTCGACCGCGAAGTAATATTATAATATGCATATTAACGCACCGGCTTGCGAATTTCAAAACAAAAAAGCAGAGCTTTTATCGCGTGTAACAAAATAATAAACGGCGGAAGGCAAGGCTATACTATTCGTCAAAATAAAATGATTTCAACAAATTTCGATAATTGAATATATTACAAGATATAGCCTTTTGAGCGAGAAACCTTTACAGATTCCTATGTAAAGTGAGGTAAAATGTTGTAATATTCAATCGTAAAAAGCAGAGCGAATATGCAAAGAAATAAGAACATTTTTTCGTAATATGTTACTATACGACCGCTACATCTGGAACCAATTTCAACAAATATTCAAAGATTTATATATAGCATGTTATATTGAAAATACTCTACTCGCCTGATAATAAACATAGGGCATTGCGCAGCCATTGTTGCGTGGGTGCTTGTGGTAACGTGAAACCTGAGAAATGAAAATGTCCGTGATTTCTGGCCATGATTCGCGGTGATCAACAGGGTTTGTTACTCCAATCAAACCCCAACCGAATACAATTCTAATAGCATACGGGTCTTGAAGTTTCCCGGGAATCACGTCACGTGGTTTGATAGCTTCGACACAATTGTTTCCAATTAGGAGACCAATACCAAGATCATCACGATATTCTGGTATTTCATTGGCAATTTGACTCTAATGACTCCAATTAATCGTCATTTCTACTCTAGGGATCTGATCTCGACCTGCTGGAATATTTTCTCGGGAATAAACCTTTGGTAAGGTTACATCTACTGACTTGTCTTCCGATGAAACAATAAGACCGCTAATATTCTGGGTTCGGATATCTTCTACTGCATGCATTGTTCCTAACTCAATCACAGTCCCGCTCAGGTCCTTCAATTTCTAACTGATCACAACCACTGTCCGTTACAAAGCGTGTGCACTTTGATCATCTAAAACAGCATATGTCATTATTTTCTTCTCACGATTGTCCTTGTGACATATCCATACCGGAAGTATTAAATACGATGTTGTTTCTTCATTGCAATCATTGCTATGACCCACTACGACACGATTAGCTACTTTAGGCTTTTCTTTGCAAGACTCTTCGTTCTCTTTCTTATTCCCATTCTTAGACTCCTTGGATTCAAAACGGAGAAGTGTGGCATGGGGTTTCTTACAAGTCTGGCATCTAATGGATTCTTTGCAACTCCTGGCCATATGACCATGACATAAACACAGGAAGCAAAGCCCTTTCGACTTAGCTAATTCTGATCGTTCCTTTACAGAATTGTTTAGGAATATGTCACAGTTCTCCAATTTGTGGGGCTTTTTACATGCAGGGCACATCAGTTCATTTGTGTTCTTATCGCTATGACCAGAGCTTTCATTGTACTTACATGTGTTGAATGAGCCAAACTTTCTCTTGCGATAACTATTCTTGTCTTCTTGCTTCCTGTCTTTCAACAACTCCTTTCTCTTAGATAACAGAACTTCATGCGAGAACAGTGGATGAGTTGCATCCTTTGCTGCCTTTTACACAAAGTCAACTGGGTCGTTAACATCATACTTTCCCTTACCAAGCTCAACCACTTTCGCACTTTGTAACCACTTCTTGCTGTAATAAGGTGGAAGTCTTACTACCAAGTCTTGAATAGCAGAGAAGGTGTCAAAGTCCTTGAGGTGTTTCACTGTTTTCTTAGTTTCTTGCCCTTTTACCAGAAAGTAGCTGAATTCCTGAAGCACGGAAGTTTTACTGCATACTGGCCATGACTTAAGCCTTTCATTGTATGCCTGATAAATCTTGTATAGTCACCAAAACGTTCTTGGAATATCTGCCTAGTCTCTTGTACTCATCATCAGTTTGCAGTCCCAACAATCCATAAATCCTTTCCTGGGTTTGTTCACTAGTATATTCCCCAAGGTAGTATAACTTATGCGATGGGTTTACAGCTTCACCGTCAATCAAGGCATCAAAACCTAACATCCACTTTGGGTAGGTCAAAATATTACCACTAAATACAGGCGGTTCCGGAGTCGGAAGAAACATCCTTTTCATTAATTCTACTTGTTGTCTTTGAATTTCAAATGTCTCTCTTTGCATTTGCTATAGGGAACTTTTCTCAAATGTCTCTCTTTGCATTTGCTATAGGGAACTTTTCTCAAATGTCTCTCTTTGCATTTGCTCTAGTAATTGGTTGTAAATGGTTAACAGGTTGGCTATGGGCATTAACAGGTGCAAATGCAGGTTTAGTTGGATCTAAGGTTGTAGCAGGATTCGAGGGCGTAGTAGGAGTCGAAGGTGTAGTGGGATTTGGGGCTGTAATAGGATTCGAGGGTGTAGTGGGACTTGGGGGTGTAGTGGGACTTGGGGATGCAGTGGGATTTAGGGGTGTAGTGGGATTTAGGGGTGTAGTGGGATTTTGGGGTGCAGTGGGATTTAAGGCATTTGTCGTGTCACTGGATGTCCCAGTGTTCATATCCTTGGTAATAGTTGGTAATTGACTCACTTCAGTGGTATTTTCGTGCAAAGTGTTAGATGTACGTTGGGTATTGCTACTTACAATGCTGGTTTTAGGGTTAGTCATCCAAGTGAGTATATATACACTTTAAGACCTGACCAGGAACGACTGCAAAATATGCAGCACAAGGTCCACCGGTAGGAATTGAACCTAAGGGCCCTGCGATTCCGGTGCAGCGCTGTAACCAACTGAGCTACAGAGGCCAGCTGTTGAGCTCTAATCGTAAGTTCATGTATATATAGGTGGTCGGGTGTGCGGTTTGCGATCTTGTTTCTTGCACTTCACTTGGTGGAATTAATATTAGAATGCTGGTTTTAGGGTTAGTAATCCAAGTGAGTATATATACACTTTAAGACCTGACCAGTTACGACTGCGAAAAATGCAGCACAAGGTCCTCTGGTAGGAATTGAACATACGGCCCTGCGATTTCTGTCTAGGGCTCTAAAGTGTATATATAAAATGCAAATTTTACACACGTTTTGAATAAATACACCTTTCCCAATTTTACACACGTTTTGAATATACACACCTTTCCCAATTTTACACACGTTTTGAATATACACATCTTTCTATGCTGCACACCTTTCGACCGAATAATAATATATTGCTGCCAGCATTTTTTATGCGGTATATAAAACTTATTGTTATATAGTTAGTGTCAAAGTTCAATTTTTCTGTTTGCCGATTAGTCAAAACCGTGTCACGTGCCGGTCCACAAAACGTCATGTTTGGCAACTGGTTCGCAATCAAACATCTATTGACATGTTAATAATAAAATGAGTGCAATACGTATGCGTGTCAACCACGAAGTTCCAAAGTCCATTATTTAAACTTTTCACTAAACATTTATACGGCGTTCCATTTATCTAGTTTTGGTTTCAAATTACTAAGTTCATTCCAATAGCCGGTGAATTATTCATACTTTGACACTTAAATACTATATAACAAAACACTTATTTAGCCTACTGAGTCCTCGAAAAGCAGTGTCTTCTGTGGCCCCTCGACCACCATTGTACCGGACAAAATCTATATCACAGTCCGTTCGCGGTTATGTCCACAATTAACATAAAAAATGTTAAATAAATTAACATGAACTATATGAATAAACTGTCCAAAGTACAAAACACCCCCGCCCGTGACGTGAACGGGGGGACCGTTACTCATCATTAAAAGCTTCCAATAATGCTAATCGCCCTACAGGGCGTGTCAATGTTCACGATATCGTTGCAATCACCGCGGATCTGATCAGTCTGTCTTCACTTGCAATCGGTGCAATCACTCTTCCGAGCCTCCAATGCGAACGAGGTCCATCCTTCTCAGAGATCAAGACAAGGTCGCCGCGACGTAGATTTCTGTGTGCAACATCCCATTTGCTTCGCTTTATTAACTGCGCAATGTACTCACTCAACCATCGGCGCCAGAAATGGTTCGCTAAGAACTGGCTATGTATGTATGTATGTATGTATGTATGTATGTATGTATGTATGTATGTAAAAATTTATTTAAAGACGCTAGCCTTGTCAACAAAGAGAGTTGATTTCCACAAGGGGCGTCGACATTTGAAAATTTACAAAAACTATTTACAAAAAGGACAAATATAAGTACAAATACATGCAATATATATAGTAATTAATTAGAATGGTTTAAAAAGGAGTTGGTGGTTTGGTGTGATTTGGCCATATAAATATGTCTGTAATAATCCATTTAAATTAATATTAGGTTAGTTACTTTGCCATACAATATTTTTAAAAGAACATATTGATAGGGCTTCCTTAGCTTCACCAGGAAGATCATTCCATAGTTTAGCACCACTATATCGAAAACTCTTTTTCAGAGAGTCGCGTCTTGGCTTAGGAACGGCCAGATCATTCTGAGCATTTCTGAGATCGTAAGTCGTTTGCAAAATATTCCTTTTTATCAAAAACTCTTTCAGGTTCGGCGAACTATGGTCGTTTAGAATTTTATAGACAGGAGTTGCCTTAGTTAATTTTCTTCTAGATTCTAAATTGTCCCATTCAAGAGATTGAAGAACGTCAGCAGACCTGATCTCATAACCAGCACCAGCTATTATCCTAGCTGCTCGATTTTGAAACTTCTGCAATTTGTCTTTTAATGTTTTGTTACAAGTGTCCCAAAGGGGAGAACAATAATCGAAGTAGGGTTGTATCAAAGCGCTATAGATTGATTGCAGCATGTTTATAGGAACGAATGGCTTGATGCGCCTTAACGTTCCAATACCTGCTGCAACTTTACGTCAATATGCTCATCCCAACTCAACGTTTCAACAAGGGTGGCGCCCAAACACGGTATTGAGGTTACCCTAGGAATTGGTTGACCATTTAACATTACAGGAATGTCATTATTTATCTTATGGAGATTATGTTTCGATCCTACGTACATTAATTTAGTTTTGGATGAATGGTGTTGCAATTTGTTTTGTTTGAGCCATTGACTTATGTTAATCAAGTCACTGTTCAAATTGAAGACAAGGTGCTGATAGTCATTAGCAGATGAAAAAATCTGTGTATCATCAGCATATAAGCACGGGATTGTATTCTTGAGATTATTTGGGAGATCATTAATATAAAGCAGGAATAGAAGTGGGCCTAAAATAGACCCTTGAGGAACTCTACAAACGAGATTTCTAGGTGTTGACATCGTGCCATTGACAAAACACACTTGTTCCCTATTAGAAATGTAGGATTCAAACCATTTTAATTCGATATTTGAAACTCCAAATTGTTCTTTCATTTTACGCAATAAAATATTATGGTTAATTGAGTCAAACGCTTTCCGAATATCAAGAAAAACAACACCGCTCAAGTCTCCATTAACCATGTTAGTGTACCAGGCATCGCACATTTGAATAAGTGCAGACAAAGTTGAGTTCTTTGGACGGAAGCCGGATTGATACTTAGAAAGCAGGGAGTTTTCATTTAGTTATTTGTATAATTGGTTGAAGACTAAACGTTGAAAGATTTTACTTATATTTGGTAGAATGGAAATTGGACGATAATTTTCGCATTTTTGTCTGTCTTCAGATTTATATATCGGTAAAACCCAAACCTTTTTCCATTCTTCCACATAAATTCCAGTTTTAATTGATAAATTAAATATCCACGTTAGTGACGGACTAATTATTTCAGCAGCAATTTTAAGTGCTCTTGCTGGAATTGTATCAATACCTGTTGATTTTGATGTTTTAAGATTGCGTAACTGAAGACACACTTCGTGTGTACTTATTTCAGAGGACTTAAACTGAATATCTGGCCTAGAAGGAACACTTTGTAATGAAGTGAAATCAGTGGAATTGATCTCGATTTCGTTAGCTAGTTTAGCTCCGATATTCACAAAAAAATCATTAAAGTACTCGGCTATCTTTATGTCGTCAGAAATAATAACGTCTTCAACTTTAAGTTGAGAAATATTATATGATTTATTATTTTTGCCTAAAAGATTGTTTATTAATTTCCAACTTTGCTTAGGGTCCTTTACCCTGACACAATCTTTAATTTTATTGCAAAAGTAGTTCTTTTTAGCCTTCTTTAATTCAGAATTGACTTTATTCCTAATTGCTCTAAACTTGATCCAGTGCATGTTCGAATTATTTTTTACGGCCTTCTTTTTGTGAAAATCTCTCTCCCGCATTAACTCCTTTACTTTCGAGGTAATCCATGGGAGAGAATTGCCACGAACTCTCATACGCCTCAGCGGCGCATGCAGATCCAATACTTGCAAAAAATGTGACCGCCATAATTGATATGAAATATTGGGATCGTCGTAAAATGTCACATTGTCCCACGGAATTTGTGAGAGATCATTGAGAAAGTCAGTTTCACTAAATTTTTTGAAGTTACGAGCATACTTAACATTTTGTCGAGACGTGATCTTAAAATGTTTTCTGACCACAAAATTAAACTGTGATCAGATAAACCTAGATGAAGTACTCCGGATTTTACAATATTTTGTTTCTTATTCGTGATTGCCAGATCGATCAAAGTTGCTGACGTTCTAGTTACCCTAGTGGGTTTATCAATTATCTGATCAAATTGATAAAGTGACAATAGGAATTTTAACCTACGCGTGTGCGCATCGGAAGGAGATTTATTTACATCACAGTTTAAATCTCCAACAAGGATTAATTCTTTATTCTCAAAGTCACAGTTTCTGAGGAATGCTTCAAAGTCATCAAACACTTGAAGATTTGTATTAGGAGGTCTATACCATGTACTTACTAGGAAAGATTTACTACATGGTCTGCTGATTTCCACACAAACCATTTCTAAAGTGTCTGCTAGTAAGTCATTCCGTTCCGTTAATGGTATAGAGTCACGAACATACAAAAGTACACCGCCTCCATGTCTATTACGATCTTTGCGAATTACATGGTATCCTAAAACATTAATTTCATTTTCAGAAAATGAGCCATCAATTTTGGTTTCATTAACTGCTAAAATATCTATAGGGCTATTCTGCATCATAATTCGAAGCTCATCAATATGCTTTGTAAGACTATTAACATTTAAGCATGCAATCCTAATGCCTTTAGAATTTTTTAAATAATTTAATAATGAGCTATCTGATTTTTTACTTATCTTATGGCCATGAGAAGTAGAAACTGGGTCCGAATCACACCGTGAATTTATCGTTGAATTTTGCGAGAGTTCCCCACGAGTCTTGAACTACACTATTACCTCTCAGAAAGGTAATAAAATGTGAGGCCAGGACTGCCGAACCTTTGCCGTTAAGATGTGGATTGCTCCCATTTAAACATGTGTGATCAATGGAAGAGTTATCAATGAACATAACATCGTGCTTTGCAGCCATTTCTTCGAGTTTGTTGTTGACTTCCTGTATTTTAGTTGCTTGTTCTATATCCTGTCTAAACGTGATTCCAGATAAACCAACTTTTGAATTAGGGAATTTTGCTTTGGTTTTGATAACAAGCCTTTCTAATTTCTTCGAACATGCTTTGGTTGAGTCTATCGGAATGTTGTTTGTCCCAGCGTGAATAATTACGTGGGAGGGAGATGATTGAATATTAATAATGTTAAGTTCCTTTTCAATTTCTTCGGCAGTTTTCCCTGGGTATGTAAATTTATAAACTTTTTTTTTTGTAAGTTTTCGAGGGTCGATGTGTTTCACTATTGAATCACCAATAAGAACAATTTCTTCTTTAATTTAACACGCTTCCTTGTAGATTGATTTTCGAAGTTTGTCGTTGAAGCAGATACGCTTTCACTTGTCTCCTCGACAGCAAGAGAAGAGAATTGATTTTTATGCGGGATTGCTTGGGTATCTCGATTCGGTTATTGAAAGTCATCCCGGTCATTAGCATTAATTTGTTTTTCATGGGAATCGCATCGCTATGACGGCATCTCCGACGTAACGACATATCTCGTTGGTTAAACTCCCCTGGCGACACGTTTGAACTCGCACGACCATGCAAGAAGTGATTTGGTGTAATCACGCTGAGATCTGTTGGTAATCACTGCTTCCACCATAGACAAGTGGACGAGAGTTCAGCATCGCTTCTACCTCGGCAATGACAATAAGGAAAACTTCATCGACTGTAAGGACATTCCCAAGCATAACTTACAATGCCCGTTTGACAGTCTTTACTAACGTTTTCCAGGCACCTCCAAACCATGGGGCAGCAGGCGGGTTAAAGATCTAACGTACTCCACGTGCTGTTAACTTATTTGAGATTTTCTCTTGATCCAGATCTTCCAACGCCTTGCGCAACTCTATTTCGGCACCTATGAAATTTGTCCCATTATCACTCATTATACAAACATAGATTCCTTTACGCGCTTTAAATCGTCGCAATCCCATTATACACGAGTCAGTGTCCAAACTATGTGTGACACGAAATAAGCAAATGTAGCGTTTTTCCTTTCGCTTGCGTCCAATTCGTATCTCAAACGGTCCGGCATAATCAATCCGAACGTGTCGAAAAGGAACACTTGCGCCTGCGAGATGTACATTCGGTAAATTAGCCATTAACACGATGGCAAAACCATAGTAGGCACTTGACTGTACAGTTCTAACTTCGGCTCAACCGTGCAAAATCCAGTATTTCTCACGTACGTGATTAAAGACATGTTTGACTCCAGCGTGGATAAGATTTTGGTGGTAGTGAATCACGATCAACCGCGTGACATCATGTCCGTGGCCCAATATAAGTGGGTGCTTCGACTCCCACGGAATTTCTGCCTTTTCGATTCTGCCGCTTACCCGTAAAACACCGGCCACGAGTTGGGGATCGGGACTTGCAATACGACTATCTCGTGGAATCGGACTACCCTTTCTCAACGCTTCTATTTCGTCTTGGAAGCGATCGCTCTGGCCCGATTTGATCCAGTACAAGTTAGCATTATCGAGTTCGTCCACAGTCAACGGTCCCGATATTCGTTTCCTTTTGTTGCGCAGATTGTTACACATGCGAAATATACATGCGGTTATTCGGGTGAATTTGATTCAGTTAGAATACGCGGCAGGATCAATAACTGTCTTTGCTGGTTCGGCCTTTGCCTTCAAAACTGATTTCTTTAACTTCGCATTACTTGGCTCTGGAAAATCAACTGCACCTTTATCAACAGGCCACTCAGAGAACTCAGACTTGAAGAACTCTGGTCCCTGAATCCAGGTTGAATCTGCAGAAATATCAGCTCCAGATGTTCCTCTGCTTGCAATATCCGCAATATTCAGCTTCTTCCCAATGTGATGCCACTGAATTGGATCACTCCCCGACAAGATCTCTGCCACTCGATTGGCAACGAATGGACGACATTTTCACCATAACGCAGTCGTGGAATCAGACAGATACTTGACACGTTGTCCGTGCCAGACGAATCTTGGCACGGACAACGTAGGGACTATCCCAGCTCAATTGGTCGTATAATGTAGCCAATCTTTTCAGAATCCCTCGCTTTGTATTTTGCGCTTTCGGACGATCAATGTGTGCTAATGCAATGCCTAGATTGTCGGACTTTCCATCCCACTTCACCCCCAACGCACGCCCTGACGGAAGTTCTCCACTATTCACGTTCTTGGTTGGGACACCCCTTTCTTCTTGTGGTATTGTTCCCAGGACCTTTCTTGACGACGAGAGCCGCTTGCGCATCGGGAATCCACCCTTCGCCATCAAATTTGTCACATCCTTCCGCAATGTTATTGCTTCATCATCATCATAACTGGACGTATATAAATCATCAACAAATATATCACGCTCGACCACTACAACTGCGACGGGCCATTCTTCCTTGTTGTCTTCGGTGGTGCGAATCACAGCATAGTTTGCCTCGCATGGTGAATATTTATCTCCAATTAACACCTGATAGTTCATCTCGTACACATCCGGTGGTCTCGACATATCGAATCCGCGCCATAAATAACGATGATATTTACAGTCCTCCGGTTCTAATCGCACATGACAGAACATATCCGACACATCACCAGTAAGCGCAACAGGTTTCTCTCGGAATCTCATCAGTATGCCAGGTAAATCGCTGTTGAGACTGGGTCCAGCCGGAAGACAATCGTTAAGGCAGATATCACCATGTTTAGCTGCTGAATCAAATACTACTCTCGGTTGTGGTTTGTGTGGGTAAATAACAGGGTGATGGGGTAGGAACCACTGTTCACCATGTTTTACGAGCTCTTCCTCCGATAACTTGCGTGAAAATCCCTTTTCAACATATGCAGTTATTGCTTTTAAATATCTCTCAGCTAACTTTGGATCTTTCAAGAGGCGACGTTCAACCAATTCTAGGCGTTTCAGGGCAGTGTCATAATTATTAGGTAAACTAGGTTCGTTGTCCAAAGAAGTCCGAGTTGATAACCAAACTCCTGCTGCTTGCATGATTCATCAAGAATGTCCAAGGCTTTCTGCACACCAGGCGTGTAAGGTGACTTAATCTCTACCCGAACACCGAAACTGTCCACATCCCAGAACTTTCGTAACTTTCGATTAGCATCGCCTTCGCCGTCCGACACGTGGACACACAGGACACTCTTCTCCTGACCATTGGAGACGGGGACTGGGCCGGGAATTACCCAACCTAAGGGTGTCAACTCTGCATATGACTCTAGATGCCCCCGCGTCTAACAGGACATCAACAGTGCCCTCACTTATTGGCTCTATCGGGACATTATTTAAGTGGGCATAAGTATGCTTAATCTAAGGCCAATTAACATCTGGGACAGGGGCACAAATATTATTAATGGTCCACCCTGTTATTTTTGCCTTTGTAATGTGTGGTGCAAATGGTAAATGTACACGTTGTGATTTCACTACGGTGCGTACCACCCCCCCCCCCCTGCTGCATCCACAGTAAGACTTTACTTAGGCCCTTTTATTCCTAACTGATTTTCAAACCATGCTCTTACAAGTGTGGTCAGACTTCCTAAGTATAAAAGTACCAAACCATTGGTTACCCTTCGAGAATCATCTATAAATGGGATAGATACAGTTTTCAGGGCTGATTTGTGCTTTACAACAATGCATTTTTTTCCCTCTGGGGTCTTAGGTGGGTAATCAAATGGTTTCTCCTGCTTAAGCTTTGAACTGTGCAATAAAAATTATGGCTTTTATCACATGAGTCTACCCCACATCTGGATGACTTTGTGCACAGACGCCGTTGGTCGCCAGGTTTCAAACAACCAAAACATACCCTTTTATCTTTTACAATTTCGCAACGGTTCTCAACAGAACTATAAAAAAAAAAAAGGGCATGAGACTTCAGTGTGTATTTTATCACACAATGGACAATTTATTAAACGTTGGTGTTGTGGATCAAATTCAGTTGTGCGTAGAGGATGGACCCTACCTCGCATGCGACCTGGTGGCTGAAAGCCAAGAACTTTCATGGTTTTTTCTGTGTTAGTGTAATGTACTCAGGTGAATATGATGCTTGTGATGTTACTCTGAGTGTATATCCACACCGGGCAGGCTTCAAAAATATGCCTGACCACGGTGGGAATCGAACGTACGACCTTTGCAGTACTAGCCCAATGCTCTGCCAACTGAGCTACGCGGTCTTGTCGGTTCGAATATGTGATATTTTGGAACAGATTCTAGTTCCTTCGATATCAATGTTATCTAATAATAATCATGATTTTTTCTGTGTTCGTGTAATATACTCAGGTGAGTATGGTCGTAGATTCGATTCCCAGGGTCGTAGGTTCGATTCCCGCCGTGATCAGGCATATTTTTTAAGCCTGTCCGGTGTGGGTATACACTCAAAGTAACATCACAAGCATCATATTCATTTGAGTATATTACACCAACACAGAAAAAAATCATGATTATCATTAGATAACATTGATATCGAAGGAACTAGATTCTGTTCCGAAATATCACATACTCGAACCGACCAGTCCGCGTAGCTCAATTGGCAGAGCATTGGGCTAGTATTCCAAAGGTCGTACGTTTGATTACTACCGTGGTCGGGCATATTTTCAAGCCTGCCCGGTGTGAATATACACTCAGAGTAATATCACAAGCATCATATCCACGTCCGTCTATCTATCTATCTAGTTAGTATTGTACAAAAATACGGTCCCGTACATTAGCTTACTAACGAACTTAAGCAACGCTTAATATAGATCATAGTTCTCCAGTAGATAAACAAATGGCAATGAAGCATGCAGAAATATAAACTGGAGAGCAACGAAGTAGCCACAAATATAAACTGTCCTCTGTAGATAAACAAATGGCATCACAGTAACTAAAATTAAACCAAAAATAAGCTGTGGATAAACAAACAGCATCGCAGTAGCTAGAAATAAACTAAAACAGGCTGTAAATAAACAAACGGCCGCGAAGTAGCCAGAAATAAGCTAAAAATTGTAGAAAAACAAACGGCAGCGATTCAAAAATGTAAAGTAAGCCCAAATAAAATAACCTGAATAAATTAAAATACTTAAAAAATTATGAGGTTATGGGCCGAGCAAAGCGCTCCGCCCGCCGCAGAGCCCCCACTCTCTATGCCTATAGCTCTTAAAAAGGTGAGAAAAAATCTGCTTGAAAAAATCTGCTTAATAAAGACACTTTAAAGCTAGTTATGGAGTCCTTGCAGTTGGTTTTAAGTAAATTATTTTACTGCTCGACGTTATGGGCCAATACATCCGACTCAATCATCCAAAAAATTGCAACTAGTCCAAAACTTTGCAGTAACAATAATAACATGTGCACAGAAGTATGATCATATCATTCCTCGTTTACAAGAACTGAGATGGCTTCCTGTAAAAGATCATTTACGTTATGGAAACTTATTAATAATGTTGACATGTCTTATATAGATGTCTTAATGACATGCCGACCAGGAAATCTCAGCAAAAAAATTCTCCATCCGTACCAGTATTTACGATCGTGAAACCCGTAAAAAGAATGATTTAGACGTACTTATTTTTAAGACAAACTCTGGGCGGAGGACGTTCAAATTCCGTGCAACAAAGTTATGGAACGACCTGGATTGTAAATTTAAAGATATCAGTAGTTTTATCACTTTTAAGAAATAATTGAAACAGAATATGCTTTCAAAATTGCTTAGACTTATACGCAATTACCATAATTTTATAAATGTGAATAGGTTATATTTTAATTTTTACTTTTATAACTTTGTAATTTGATCTGAATAGCCCGTTATGGGAAATCTAGTTAAACAGTAATAATTAATAATAATAATCTACGAATAGTTTTCGTGGAAAAGAAGAAATACATTGGTATATTTTCTTTTCTTCGACCAAATGTGAACCACGCTACTAATATGCATTTCAAATCATGCATTTCTTTTTTGTTTTAAGTACACAAGCCTAATAAATGCCATATAATAAACATTTATTGACATCACTTGTTTGGTATGTACAGAGAAATATCGGACCTTGGTCTTTTTTACCAAAGTTTGCCCTACAGTATCGGTCTGCACAAAAAAGACAGAGATCCTTCAGTTAATGAGACCGTACAGGCCTCGCGTTCGGTTAATGAGAAGTTAATAATGTTCAGTTTGGATGTTATATTTGATTGTCCTTTCCTTGATCCTAACCCCAACATCGTAGTTTACCAAATGTATGGTATCCTTTCTCTCTTCTACCTGTATCTCCAAATTTGAGCTCAGTTACAGGAAGCGTTTTCTTGTCTGTCATGGTTATATTTTAATTTTTAGCTTATAACTTTGTAATTTGATCTGAAAACCCCGTTATGGGAAATTTAGTCAAATAGTAATAATTAATAATAATCTACGAATGGTTTTCTTAGAAATGGTTTTCTTGTGTACCATACTTGATTTTTCTCTACTAGATCCTAACCCCAACATCGCAGTTTCCCCAACGTATGGTATCCTTTCTCTCCTCGGGGTCCAGAACCTGTATCTCCAAATCTGAGTTCAGTTACAGGAAGAATGTTCTTGTCTGTCAGGTATCCACTATCTGCACGCCATTTCTTGTCATTTTTGTCACAATTACATTTTTTCCCACCTGCGCAGGTGTTGTTCATTCCACAAGCACATTTGCCGCTGTCAACTGCCGCTCCACCCCAGTAATTCATTTGTGTACCTTGACGCGATACCCACCAACCATAAGAAATTGATTCACGGTGTAAAAGGCTGTGATAACATTCATATTTTATAAACTGCTCACAATTCTTGGACTGATTCATAATTGTAACAATATCTTGCATGGAAATACCATATTTAATATTTCGTGTGTAAGAACCTTGTTGTTCATATCCATCCACGAGTGTTCTTGTTTCACCATCGTGTCCAATCTCTGTCACAGGAACGCCATTCTTAGAACTCATGTTACAGTATACTTGAACCCTTGGCGATGAATTTAATCCTTGAGGGTTGATATAATACATTCCATCGCGAGTTGAAGGATTTTTTATTAACAAAGCTGGACAAGAAGTTGGTGTGAGGTTGACAATACCTGCAAAACATAAGTGAGGAGTTATTATTAGGGATATGTTACAGTCCTTTCTGCGCATGCGCGGGCTTTGTTTATGTTTTTGTTTTGATCCACATTAATTATATAAGATGAAGTATATGCTGAATTCAAAACACGTTAAAGTAACATTCCACATAATTTGCGACCGAAGAGTGCAATGTTTGAATATCTTCGCCGTATTTCTTGGACATTTGTACACTGGAAATTCTTGTAGACAATAACTCAATCTTTATATACTGTAACTTTTAATTTAAAAATCGTGAATAAAGAGGCCACTTTGTGCTTGTGTGAATTCACAGATCAATAGCTGGAGCGGCGAAACGAAATTGCGAGGTGTGAGTTCGATTAATTTACCTTTGTGAGTTTGTGTGTATAATGAATCTGTAAATTTTGAAAATGGTTTATGCAATATTGCTCCCTCTAAACATGTTGCCGGATTTGTTGTTGCCATTATGACAGAAACACTTGAGGAAAGCTTTTTGCTTGACAAATTCGAAACAAGTGCGATTGAGAATGTGGCTGCAGTTCGTGTCTTCGTGACAAAAGTGGAAAAGCCAATGGCGAAATTGTCGACCGTGCAAGAACCTGATAAATAGCTTTTGGCGATCTCGTGCGTGCCTTATGGAGATGATATGTTGGATGCAGGAATGCTGTATAGACGCCAGAAGAGTTAAAGTCTCAAGAGATTGACAATTGATTATATTAAATTTTTTTGTGTTATAAAAATATGTGTTTTGAAATTATGAACTGGAAGTATGAATTTATTGATATTACTCTCAGAACAATTATGTTGACGTTGGTTAAATAATTCTGTTGATGTTGGTTCATTATGCCTCTTCTGGACGAAGAATAGTTGCTAAATATATGCCTAGCTTGTTCTATATCAGAGCTCATCAGAATGCCCAGGAAAGACTGATGAAATGTTGACATACATCATCCTGCAATGAATCTTCTTTAATCTATCTTTTTTTACAGATTTATTTAGCTGTTATATGGTAATACAAAGAATTTATAAACAATTATTTTAAAACTCTAATAGGCATTAAAAGAGAACTCCTCGGCGATAGGTATCACATAACTCACGGGCCTATGCAAAGCGCCCTCCCCCCCGAAAATACAGAATATACTAAACCATAATTACATTTTGTGATATGAACAGCCAGGTAAGCACCACTTACATAAGAACCTGTTTAGGCTAACTTGGAAAAAATCTATGTTCTTATACACAGGTTGTACTGTGTTGTTTAATTTCATGTCACAAAACAGACTATGGCTCCTCTGACAACATATAAAATATTTAATATGGGATGGTGGCACTCTTTGTGACACAAAATCAGGAAATCATAGAACAATATGACTGGAAATCATAGTACAATATGACTCGCCCCTTTCCAATAACCCCCCTCCCCTTAGAATACAAAATTCAAAATTAATAAGCCCACACACCTCTTTTAAGCACGCTTCCCTACATTCAATTAATTCTTAAAATCATGAATTATCTTGCATTTCTGCAGTATTTAAATAAAAATTACTACAGCTGTAACTCTGAATATGGACATTTTTGTTAATAGTAACCAGACTTATTGCATATATTTAGAACACGTGCCCCCTCTATAAAGCCCCCTCTCCATTAAGACGCCCTCAATGATTCTTGGGAAGATAACCAACAGGAGGCTTGATATAGAAACTAAAGTAGTTATTTGATTGAAACTGGTAGCTACATTACAATTCGCCCCCCGTGTAAGTGTGTAATTGAGCCTGCATTTTAACTAATCAACAACATTGTAGGACGCATGCGCACTTTGACTGCTTCGAATTTCGGCAGAGTTCAATATACTGTCGGGAAAATAATCGGAATGCAACGGGTATCTCCCAGTTTGTTTGTCTTTTGGATTAACACGTTGTTTTCGTTTGTATTGGAAAATTTTGAGCGAGTTCTATCATGGCCAGAAATCACGGACAGGATTATTCTACTTCCTTACTAACTTTGAAATCATTAATACATAACCCGTTGAAATATGGCTTCGATAGTAAACAGTAAATTATGTTACGCGATGCTTTAAATCGCAAAATCAGAGAATATTGGTAGTCGTTTGCAATTTGCTTCGACTGCTGGGCGCAGAACACGGTCTGTTGAAGTATATCGTGTAGTGTTTGCCTGGTATAAGTTACTGCCTATTCTGCATTTTCGTTTGTTTCTAGTGGCTATAGTGCGATATTATTATATAAAGTTAAATAGACAAATTCCGTACAAACTAGATTGTGTACAAATACTGAAAATGGAGAATGCTCACTAATTAAAATCAAGTCAACATTACGCTAAATACTTCGACCAACTTTGATTTACAGCCAGCGACTGAGGCAAGTTGCAAACGACCTACCATATTCTCTGATTTTGGGAGTTACAGTATCGCGTAATATAATTTACTGTTTACTGCAGAAGCCAGATTACGAAGGACGTATAATAAATCATGTCCGTGATTTCTGGTCATGATATATTTAAATGGAATTTTCTGATCGACTTTTTAGAATCGAGTAAACCTCTCGATTTAATAATTACTGAATAGCTAAAATATTTAACATCACGATGGCATCGATCAGTAGCGACATAAAACAAAGTTAAATACATTCAAAAATGCTTTCCCGGCATATTATAGAAACAACTTGCATATTTTATATTACTGCCTCATTCTGTGGTAGCCTAATAGACGTAAAATAGCACTGGAAATGACGTTAAACTTTATCTTCCGAGTACAAAAATCAACAAACTAAACACGGATTTCCGAAGTTTGAAATTTGCTTCGGAGTGCAATCGGAATAAATTAGTGCAAAGGTGCAAAGGGTAAAATTTCCGGCTTGCAGTAGGCGCAGAATTACACATTTAGACCGGGCTAGTTTTGTCATGAGCTATTTCAATCCTACTGTATCTCCTTTTTATATATAACAAGACTATCTATTTCCTGTAAATCAGTCAAATTATGGATAATATGGAAAGCTGGTAGGCGTGATAGTCTAATTGAAAAAACAGTTGGCTTATGTAAAGTACAAGCAATAAATTCAAGATGATCCGGGCATATTTTTTATGCATTTACTTTGGTTCCAGTTCCTTGTAAACAGGAATTTTGCCAATGTGCAAATACAAATTCCAGTTATCTTTAAATTCAAATTCCCGTTACTGTTATTTTGTGATTCCACAGCTGCAATCAGAACTTTATAATAGCCCCTGACACAACATGCATTTAACATTAATATTTTGTGCTAGCTCATTTCGTGCTAGCAAATTTCGTGCTAGCTCAAAAATACAAGTTCAAATAAAGGCCAAGCAAAGTTATGTCAAAGAATGTAGTAGAATCTGGAATCTAGTAGTAAAAATGTCACGCCGATATTTAATATGAAAAAAATTATTTAGGGCTATAATCTCTAATCAGTCTAAAATGGTCTTATTAGTCACCGTGACCTAGTCTTCGAAGAAAGAGACTGGGACGGACATGGGGGTTTCACTGGTAAATACAAAGCCTTGGGGGCCACCAAATATGTTATTAACCCATTAAGGTGCAGAGCTTCCCCATTGACAAGTAAAATCGTCTGGCGTTAGGCAAGTAAAAAAAATAATCCGAGAGTACTGGTGTGCATTGCGGCTCAATGGGGTTAGTAACATAACTAGGCTAGAGTGGCAGATAGGATAAAATATCAGGTAATGGTGTGTACGGTGTAATTATAAGCACTAACGTATGTTTTACCAATTTCCACACACTTGTCAGAACTCTCACCACAAAGACAGATTCACAGCATCAAACTAGGCTTGACAGTTTAACTTCAATCAATCAATCAAAAATATTTATTTGAACACGATTTAAAAATGAGCAGCAAATTGCTGATGTGGTCGTGTGAATTTCACAGTTAGAAATGTAAGGCAAAGGATATGTTTCTTTCTCGAGTAGCATTCTTATTGCCAATTTGTCGTCAGCTAAATTAGCACGTAAAATGTGTGTAAAACTGAATTGTATTAAATCAAAGAACTTATATTAAACCTATTTTGCATGATTAAATTAAAAGTAATAAAAAGTAAGGTAAAGCAAAGTGTTTCCAAAACATATCGTACAAGTCAAAGCTTAAGCGTTTCCATATGTAGTGTTGAGCGTTGATTCACATCACAACTTCATATCATTGTTCACATTTATAGTTTTCATTCGATTAACTGTAGAACAATTTGCACGATCTCCTAGCAATGGCGAACCAAATCACAATTAAACACCAGTGAATTGCAGCAAAATCTTCGAAGAAGTTACACTTCAGCACAGAGTATGGAAACGAACCTTCGTTTCCTTATTCTATGACTTCAGAAACAACATCTCAAGGACAACAACAATAATTGACGTAGACTACAGTGGATATACTTGGTGTAGTATCACATGAAATGTGTGGCAGCAAATGCGCATGACTGCAATATCTCGACATGGAAAGCAGAAAGCCCATTTCTAGACTTGGGCTACCATAGTAGCCCAAGTAATAACCAATAAATTCACAATAGTTTGGGAATGGAATCAATGCTTGTATATTTTTAGCAAATGAGCCTTTTAGCACATGAAACAGAAGATCTAATGTATTGTTTAAAGCTTTAACATAAGCAAAAGCAGTTACTCCAAAGTTCTGGCGACAATATTATATCAATTTAACAAAGAACAACAACAACGTGTGCGATGATTTCATTTAGCCAATTATTTCATGGTTATTATGGAATAAATGCGAATCTTGATTTTATTCTGTGTTGGTGTTATGTGTACTCAAGTAAATCTGATGCTTGTGATGTTGTTTCCATAATATACTAGAAAATACATCCATGCAGAACCCTCG